ATCTACTGGAAGACAGTAGTTATCAAATCATTACCAATGGTGATCAGTGCTACTAAGAGTAGATTGTTTGTTTCATTGCCCACTGGAATGCCAATCGAAAGCGAAAGTGATGAGAACCTACTTGAAAGTGACAAGTAGGTGAAAGAAGAGTCAATGGGCAAATTTTATGAAGGAATGAACCAAAAACTTCAAAAGTTTAGGAGGCGATGCTCGTTAAAGCTCCAACAGGCATCCACCCAATTCAAGCGGCATGAGGCATTTAAGAGACTGACGCATATTAAGGATGGTCTTTTCCTTCATCTAAAAGATCTGTAGGAGCCAATAATGATCAACACAACTCAGCCAACCTCACACTAAAATCAGAGTCATTGGCGAGTTGAAGCAGCATGGCGGATTAAAAGTTCGACTGCCCAACAACAACAATGGAGAGTAATTGGGAGCCAAGAGGCGCATTGCAGTTGGACCAGAAGATTAAAGACTCAGCAAAGGCAAGGAGTTACAACATCAGTAAGGGCTTCGACGAGGACGTCGAAGAAATAAGTGGGGGAGAATGTCACAGACAAAATTGTAAATGGGGTGTTCGATGTACTTATGTATATCCGTGTCTTTTGATTTTGTTTATGCTTTGCATAGCATATAAAGGGCTGGTAGTAGGCTTAACAGCCTCATTTTCTTTTGTTTTGGTGGCCGTCCTAAGCTTGCAAACAAATGTTATATCATGTGGGCACTTGTGGGGATTTCGATTTGTAGTGGATTATTTTGGACCCTTTGTTGTGCGGTCGTTCAGAGCTTGTAAATTCTATTTGTAATTTACATTGGCTATGAAGCATTTACTAAAATAATTACTTATAGATCCCAAGTGAGGTGCTTTCTCTAATATGTTTTCTCTTTTGTAGGTTCTAAGGGACCATAGGAGATTTCGGATAGGCCGACCTTTGCGGACTGACATGCAAAGGTGCCACACGACTTAGGCAAAACCAACTAAGTCTGTGACATGGCAGTACCACCACCCATGCCTGCATTAGGTCACTAGTTTGGTCTTTTAATGGGCCCAATTGAGCTCGAGTTTAAGCTCATTGGCTTTCTTGATAAGTTGGCATGGTCTCGACTTAATACCAACTCAATTTGACCCAGAAATACTTCGATCAAGACTTTATAATCTAACCACATAAACCACATATCCGACATAATTACAATTACGAAGCTTTTAGTACATTGTATGCCATTCCAACATATCATCGATCTTCCGGCACTTCCTCCGAACTTTCGATACATCATCCTTTCCTTCAACATATCGCTTGATATATCATTATGTGACTTTCCCATAATATCCGAGCTTTTGGCACAATATCCGATCCTTTCGGCATGATGCTTGAACTTCTATTATGAAATATAATCTTCAGTACATTGACCAATCCTCCTTTTATGACAAAAGAAGACAATCACAAACTTTCTTCTCCTCCTTCGAAAGAATAAAAAAATATTCTAAACAAGGAGAAAGGTAACTCTTTAAGGAAAACTACTCTAATATACATTTGGGAACTTCATAGTACTAACTTGAGCGTTAGAGGGATTGGGTCAAAAAACCTCTCCTATCCTCGATCATGGTGCAGGTGGTGTCTCAGAGCCACCTAGATGCCATCTTGAATCCATCTCGGGAGCATAATATTTTTACCTCAAGGAGACCTCGAACATTCCAACGCATACGGGAGTTGACCATGTCCAACTGTCCAAAATGTCAATGACATTTTCCCTCAATACTTACATATGCCAAGTTAACCTGTCAAATAATATTTTCTCATTAGACCATCGATCATAAAACTAATATTATATTTTATTATGTACATATATGTCTGTAAAAAAAAAATTACACACACCTTGATATTATCTTTTGCACCGGTCAATTGTTTTCTATCCACGAATTAAAGTGAGATACGAGATAAGTGATAATCGATATTTTATCTCTTGGGTTAGATTTGATCATTCAAATCAAAACTGAAATGGGTCACCGTTCCTCATTCTTGAGATTTGAAATTAGAATCGGAACCCTTTAGAAAAATAAAAATCTAAATGGTCAAATGTCTACTCTTCCAAGACTTAATAAACAACTAATTGGAACCTGATTTTGGTTCAGAAATGGAATCAGAATCATTAATTTCTTAATCAAAATCAGAATCATCGATTCTTATTCTAAAATCGAAATCACCTGGAATCCAATTTAGTTCAGTTCCTTGGTAGAACGGGAATCGTTTTGAAACTATGATAGTTCAAAAGGTCAAATATTGGACATATTTTTCTAACCCAAAGTCAAGTTCTTCCTCATGCAACCAAACTTGTATCCCTATTCATAAACCGATCGAAAGTAACGTTAGAAAATAAAACGGCAGTGCCACAACACAACACAAAACTGGTCCGAGAAAGACACCGTGGAAGCCACGAACTTAGACAAGTCGAAGGCATCTGGAGATTGATCTCAGACAACCGTTTGCTGCTTCGATGGCCAATCCGATTGGTTTGGTCTGCGGACTCGGTGTTGCGGGTCAAAGATCACGCAGTCCCAAGACAGCTACTGCCTACTCGTGCAGACTTTTCCACGGTATCACGCACCTCTTTGGCACGTGGCTTCGTGGTGTGGATGTCGAGTGGGTGTCCTCCTACCCACCATTGCTTTCTATGCTTCACCAGCAATGTTTCTGTCTCGAGTCGTGGGCTAAGTGGCGGCGAAAGTGACGACTTCCAGGTGTCTGGCAGCAGGTGTAAGCTGTCTTGACGCTCCGTCACATGAAGAATGGCCACGGACGAACGGTCTACGAACTATCCCGCACGCGCAAGACTCTGTCATTTGCTGGTCTAACTGTCACTCCGACACTTGGTAGATAGCCCGTAGCCGCAGACGGTAGAACAGTAGAGGTGGTGATAGGGGCAAGATTGTCCATTCACCGTCGACGCAAGAAACTTGACCACTGGATCCAAACTGGCGTATGACGACAAAAAGCCGTACAAAATATTTTTCGAATTAGGAATTTTCGGAGAATATTTTTTCTACAGGCTCGTGGAGGATTGTACGACGGTGTTGGCCGGTGTTTGACTCTCTCTCCCCACTTCCTCTCCGGTTTCGGTGTCTCTGGCCCGAGCTAACTTCGTGATCAGAGAGATCGATTCAGCTCTCGGCCACAGATAAGATCAGATATATTTGGTCCTGATATGGATTTAGAATCAACGGTTCTGATTTTATTTTTAAAATCTATAAATTTATTATATCAAATTTGAAATTGAAATTGAAATTGAAATTGAACCGGATTCTGATTTAACTGTCTATCTTTTTTTTTTCTTAAAATATTTTTTAGTTAATTATTTATTAAATTATTAGAAGCGTCATATTGGTTATTTAGAGGGAAATTCAAATTGTAAGAACGAAAACGATAGAACTCGTTTCCAGTTCGATTTCAAACTGGTTTCAGTTTGAATCGTGATCGAATATAGCTCCATCCTCTGCCTCTCATTTCTCATCCCATCGTGTGATCGAACTCTAAAGATGTCCGACTCACCTCCTTCGTTCATCTCAGCCCTGCATCAAGTCGAGGCGATTGAGAGAGAGAAAAGTATGTGGGGAACCTTGACTTGCAACAAGCAAAGTTTGATTTAGGTCAATTTAGTGGCCCCCCAATGCAAACGATCGTGTCTGAAGCAAGGCCGAACAGCATGAAAACGTCCGACCCGACCTAAGAAGTGACATTTGTACATCAATCTTTGTGCCACACCAACCTATAATCATCAATCTAAAAAGTGCTCGAAGATGATGATGATGATGATGATGATAGTAATAACAATGTTGATGATGATTCCAATGCAATTCTGCTTGATGGGTGCAACAAACTTGTTGATGGTTCAACAAATACTGAGAGGAGTTGGGAAGAAGGATTGGGATATGGTGGTGGAAACGTGATCATGTCAAGTTGTGGAGCTGATCCAAAATAGTTCCACCAACCCAAACCCACCTCACTGATCTGTCACCACTAATATTAAGTTTGCAAATCGTTGAAATCTGTTCGTTCTTAAAGAAACTAATTAAACCTCAGTCTTCTTCAAGAAAAAAAAAATATATTAGTTTATAAATAAATATTTTTAATACTATAAATTATATTTATATAATCGAATGATCATCGAAAGGATTTGAACTCACGATGGATATTGATTAGAAAAATATATAGTATATTTAATAGGGTTATATTTAACAGAAAAAATGGATTTGAGGATGAGAAATGAAATAGCATAGAATAGGAAATTCTACCAAATTGCATTTCATGTGCATTCCAAGCAGAACAGAAGAAAGAAATCATGTGATGGATGAGTTAACAACGAATTAGTGGCAAAAAAGCAAAAACATGGTTGGATTGGAGACAAGTGTTAATGGTCGCTCGATGCTTTTGAAAAGTAAATGTCGCATAGAAGAGACATTTAATGTTGAGATGAGATAGAAAAAGTCAAACAACGGAAACAAAAACCTTTCTTAAATCATGTCATGCTTGATGCTCTTTTTCTTGTCTGTCCACATAAGGTACAAAACTCCAATTTTGTGTTCTCAGCGAGAAAAGTGACATGCTGAATTCAAATAGAAGCATCATTCTTATAATAATAATAATAATAATAATAATAATAAAGAGAGAAAGCAAATAAAATAAAGTAATATGTAATGTTATCTATGGGTAATTAACTATCGCTCAGTACCCACAGATATCAATGATTGGGGATTTGGAATCGCCAATTCACATGTATTATCACTTCACTTGTTGCTCTCAATCTCATTTTGGATCAATCAACCATATATTATCATCAAAACCCTCGTTAATTTACCTCATCATTTCTATATAATCTTATAGCAAGTTAAGACTTTGGTTGGCCCACCTCCTCTGAAATCTGTGGAGGATCTTTGTAGTGGAACTGTGAGCTCAATTTGTCCTCTCTTTGGGATGGAAGTTCTCTCTCCCTCTCTACCCTTTCATCCCTTTTTTTCCTTTCTACTTCTTTCCTCCATTCCCTCTTACCCACCCAAGACAAAATGATTAAGCTTTTTTCCTACCCATCAGAGATCCATGGAAAGATAGAAAAAGTGGAACAAACAACTCTTTCCCTCTCTCTCTCTCCACCTCCCTCAACAGACGACTCTTCAACCTCTTCTTTACCACCCAAGACATCATCTCTCTCTCTCTCTCTCTCTCTCTCTCTTTCTCTTCTACATCTTTAGTCGCATACATCGAACATGGATTCGACCAACAGTGGCAGCATGCAGTCCTCGAGCAGCGGTGACAACGACGAGTGCGACTCTCGAGGTGAGTCCATCTCCTCCTTCTTGAACCTCCCACCGCTGCATCCACGGCTGCAGCCGGCAGCAACCGCTACCACTCTCCAACACGACCACCCTTCTTCCTCCTCCATCTTCGATCCTTTATCACCTTACCTCGCCTCCTTCCCCCTCCCGCCTCCGGAGTTCGACTCGACGTGGCCTGCAGGAATCCCACCGTCTTCTATGTCATCGTACTCCACTTGCACCACCACCGACGGCATACGGTCGTCAGCATCAGCGAGTCCGTCGTCGCTACAGCCACCACCGGTATTGCAAGCTGATCGTTCTGCCGCCGCCCCACGAGGGTCCAAGAAGCGGTCGAGGGCGTCGCGGCGAGCTCCGACCACCGTCCTCACCACTGACACCTCCAATTTCCGAGCCATGGTGCAGCAGTTCACCGGCTTTCCGACGCCGCCCTTTGCTGCCTCTCCCTTCCCCCGCCCTCGGCTCGACCTCCTCAACTTGGGGGCCGCCGTCCCATCTTACCTCCTTAGGCCCTCTGCCCAAAAGTTTCCTTCTTCTTCCATCCCTCCCATGTCTTCTTCCTCCGCCTCCACTTTGCTCTTCGATCACGCTATCGCCTCGATCGCTAGGAGCACTCTTGCCAACATAAACGTACCCATCAACACTAGTGCGACAAGTTCTTCGAGTAGTGCTACTCCGAGTTCCACCAGCAGGCGCGAATTGCCGGTCTTTGATGATTTCATCTCCCAGCAGCTTCTCCAATCACAAACCACACCCGAGTACGGTTCCCTCTCCTTTGCCTCCTCAGTAGCTAGGGCGCAAGGGCCTTCGGGCTACGCCATGGGAGGTCTCGGGAGCCTCATGGCGACAGAAGGCTTGAAGGTGAGCGGTGGAACCAATGTTTCAAGTTGGGTTGATGAACTAGGACAGGAGAATGCAGAAGACGACCGATCGAAGGGGATCATGAGAAACTATGGCGATCAGAGATAGCTAAAGCCATGCAGGAAGGAGCTCTGCAATGGATTCTTTCTCCAGGATGACAAGTAGCAATATGTTGAGAGGAAGTGAAGGAGGAGGAGGAGGAGGAGAAGATGGTCTTTGCAGCATCACTCAACCATCATCAGTGGTAACCATATATATCACACACTCTTTCCTTCTAATGTTTACATGGTTTTATCTTGTCCTTGTTTTGATCACAGTGCACAAGAAAGAGCTGCCGTCGAGTATTTATCAAGTTATGTGATCTTGAAAGAGACAAAAAGACATTATGATTCGATTGAGTTTTGAAATGTTGGGTGGAGGTGTTTTCATTTGTAGCTATTTTGCCTCACAACATTATTCTTAGCTTCTTTGGTTTTGTTTGCTTGAGGGGGTGGATTCAACAAAAATAAATTAGGTATTGTAATTATAGCTCTAACTCCATGAATTACAACTTATTTTTATGGTTAGGGCTCATTAAGTGATACATTTTCTTTATAGAAAAGAAAAATTGTTCATCAAGTGAATTATGCTTTTACCAGATAGGAAGGACTGGTCCATAAATAAATCGATCTAATTATGATATTTTTAAATAAAATTATAATATTTTGAATATCTTCACAGAAACATCAAAAAATATTATAAATGTATACAAAAATACTGTAACTACAAGTAAAAATTTAAAATACAAAAACACTATAACTCAAAGTATAAAAACTTATAATATTTTATCATGTTTAATAGGTATTTTTATTACCTTGGGAATATAAACCTACAAAGAAAATTTAATTTTTATGTTAGTTATGATGTTTTTTTCACATGTGTTTTTTTAAATAATTGTGTAACAATGACTCAAAATATGAGACAAACTGTTATTATCATTGTTGCGGTCTTAAATATGTACTCTTATTAGTTAAGAAATTAAAAAATATAAAAAAAATTAATTTTTATATTATTTTTAAAGAGAGTTATAATATTTTTGATATATTTATAAAGATATTTTAATCCTATATATATATATATATATATGTATATATGTATATATGTATATATGTATATATAATGTAACTGACCTAGCTCACCATATGGATCTATCTAATATAAAGTGTTTTAGGACTAAGAAAAAAGAGAGTCACTAGTGAGGAAAAACAAATAGATGGGGCATCTCTCCGGAAAAGTCTAGAATTCGTTCTAAGGGATTACTAATATGAAAATTTTATTAATAATTTGTAACATCTATCAAGTCGTTATGCCTTATAAATTCTTGGAACTTATAGTTAGATGTGATCTAATATTCATGATAAAATAGATTGAAGTCATCAAAAGGGAGTTAAAGATAATTAAAAAATAGGGAATATTTAGCTATAAAATTTAGAGGGCATTCAAATATCTCTTTTTGTTCAAATAATATAGAGAAGACAAAAATTAAAACCTCATATGATAAATTTTATCCTTAAAATATTGATTAATGGTGGTACACCTGAACTACTTATAGGTTAGATGACCCAAATTCATTTATCCTTAGGTTAAGGATTCAAATAAAAAATTTATATATAAAATAGTAGTTTGATTGTGGTGTACTTGACTAAATTATTATTTTTAATAAAAAAGATAAGAATGATATTAATGTAAAGAGAAAATAAAGATAATATAATATAGTAAGGATATGTTCACATAGGGACGAAAAAAGACAGATCAAAGCCTCTGAAACAAAATCAACATACAAAGTAGTAGTATAAAGCAAGGCCTCATCAACAATCAGAATTAGAGTAAAAATCACATAAAACGTCACCCCACATTGAGCTTTACTTGTCTTTTAGAGTGTGCTATGCTTTTCCGTATTGAGTTTAAGGTTAAAAAATGCATAATGTTAATCTTCCACCTTGGAATCATTAATCATATCAATACTTGTAATGGTATCATATCTATTAGAGGTTATCATGACTATGAGACTACAAGTCATGATAGAACGCAAGATAAAAGAAGAAGTCTCACCTGTTGTAAGAGCCTTGATATCATATATACTAATGTGAAAATAAAAAAGATAATTTGCTTAGGATTAGATGGCTCAGCAATCACCAACCTAATATATCAATATACAGTTGATATATATATATATATATA